GTCACACCAAAGCACCGTGCTCCCTATCTCTTCTGCTCTCGCCTTGGCCTGTTCCCACATTGCTGTCGCAACCTTGATGTCCCATGTCCGTGCTGGACCCAAAATAAGTGCCGGGCGGATGGGCAAATCGGCGAACGGTGAGCTCGTCGCGAAGTCAAGGCAGATTGACGCCGTGATTGGCAAATCCGGAAACTTCTTCTTATTCGTCTTGAAAGTGATGGGAACAACAGAAGGCGGGTCGTTGGACGGAATCTGCGAGAATGACTCAACCACTTAGGGAAGCATATCAGTTGCGTAGTCTGCGAGAAATGGGAACGTTCCTACATGGCACAAGGTTTCTTTTGTAGTATTCAAACACCACACCGTGGCGCTGATTGATCAGCATCACTCCATTTCTTCTCAAACCACTTCTGGTGTGATTTTCACGGGGCAGATATTCCTCAAACGAAACAGCGATGTATGCTCCGGCTGCTCGATCTTTAATTTTCTCCGCTGCAACGCGTTTTGCCTCCGCCGATTCAAATTGCACTGCACCTTCCGGCCAAAGGACAATTTGAGCTTGATTTACTATCTGCGCTGTCGCGGCCACGTAGTCATCAAAAGTTGGATTCTTGACATCAGATGGAGGTAGAGCGCAACCAAAGGTGTATGGGGTGGTCGAGGGTGAGTCGACGGGCAGTGGCAGAGTGGAACTGAACCATGACGGAAGGGCCATCAGGAGGAGGAATACTGCAAGGGACCAAACCTGCAACTTCTTCGAGTTGCGGTTGGAACCACTTTCTTGATCGTCAACTTCATGATCGATAAGCTGTGGTCCACTGCCAGCCATATCATCGGATCCAACAATCCAATCACCAGCAATTTGGGCGACCACAGCGGCCCACGCCGCAACAATCCAATTGATGCCTATCGGGCCTAAGAATGGTCGAATCCATCGGTATGCGTCAACCCCGAGGACAGGGGTCCAAGTGATTAGCTCGCCAACGGGATTGTGTTGGGCAATAAAATGTATAGACGAGGCCCAAATCGCGGGAAAGAGGAGAAGGTGTGCCCATCTCGGGATGGACTGCAACCGAACGCTATAGGCATCTATGAGCACTGGAACTAATGCCAATAAGCAGGAAATGGTCGAGAGGACCACAAGAGACAATACTGCCAATGTTGGTGTCGAAAGGGCATGTGCAGATGGCCCAACATGTGTGAAAGCAATACACGCAGTGAGACATCCGGTTAAAATCAGGAGGCTCCTAACAGGATGTGGCCTGTAGCGAGCAGTGACTATCGTGGCGTAAAGTCTGAGAGTAGCGATCAGAAGAATGACAGGAACGAAGGACGGGGACGGTCCAAGCGCGAAGAGTGATAGTGCGGATGCCATGCCCACAAGCGCTGTGGGGTGTTGGGTGACGACCCTCCGGAAGTCAGTCTCTTCCATAGTTGAGATGATCATTACGAGCCGCTCCGAGCCGCGTTAAGTACGATTTTAGGGAGTCAGAATAGGTGCACTGCGGACGATGGGGACTGCGGGACGCAGTTCGAAGGACAATGAGGCGAGTTTAGCGCCCTCCGAAGCCCATAACGTACTAGTGGTTCAACAGACTTCGAATAGACTTTTTTGGGTCACCTGGTCCCCCCATCCACAACAGCACGAAGTTCATCTTTTCATAAAGCGACAAGATACGCGTTTCAGTCGAGTTTGACTGATGCTGTCCGGACCATGGCCAAGATGAACAACGAACGTGATCGAGATGAAGCAAGACGGAACGGGACTCGGATCATCATGCAAATCATTTGAAGCAAGCGAACCGTCCAACCAGTCTCTCTCTCAGCACCACCACAATGTCCGAGTTCCACTGTCTGCACGGTCCATGCCCCCAAATTCCAGACAACCTCACCGTCCCACAATTTATTCTCGATTCTCAGCATCCCACAAGACCTTTGCGCAAGGACGGAACACCATGGCTGATCGAGGATGCCACAGGCAGAGGCATCGGTTTTGAGGAAGTGAGCGCTATGGTTAGGCGTCCATTGATCCGCCCTTACACTACGTACAGCTCCGAGCACGCACCTTTGGTCTGGCGAATGCCCTACACCTGCATTGGGGGATAAGTGAGTGTGCATTTCATACCAGCCACCAACAAGTTCTGACGCCGTCGCCGGATTTTCAGAGGAAGATGACGTTGGTTCGTTGCATGGCCGTATGAATTACGCGTGTAACTGACTTGTTGAACGCGAAGTTTGTATTTACGGCAGTAATCACGTCGGTGCGTTTACACGGTCAACATTGGTGAATTAAATTTCGTTAAGTGGATGTACAGACTACCCGGTCGCGTTATGGGCCGTTCACAGGCTAGGCGCGATAGTATCGCAAGTCATTCGATTTGATGCACAACCGCACGCGATTTTAACTCCCCTCATCATGTTTTAGACCTGCGAATCCAACCTACACCGTCGGGGAACTTCACTACCAGATTGAAACCGCCAAAGCGACACTTGTCATCAGCCACCCCGATTCTGTCTCGAACGCGGTCGATGCCGCTCGCCTTGCTGGGCTCTCGGCCGACCGAGTGATTGTCTTTGACAAATTGAGGCAGCCATCGCCAATTTCTTTTCCTGTCCTTGATGACCTCATCGCGGAAGGCTTGTCACGACATCCTCTCTTCGTAGAAAGGACTCTCAATCCCGGAGAAGGGAAGACGAAGCTCGCTTTCTTAAGCTTTTCAAGTGGAACTACTGGCAAGCCGAAGGCCGTGGCGATTCCGCATCACTCCTTAATCGCCAATGTGGTGCAAATGTCTGCCTACTACAAAGTAAACGAACCGTATACTACTTGGGAAAAACGTCGTTTCAAGCCTGGTGATGTCGGCATGGCCGGTGAGTTCTTCCTCTGTGCTACTGGGCTCTTTACTGATACATGCGCAGTCCTCCCCTTTTTTCGTAAGCCAGCTCCTCCACAAATATGTTTTGAAACACTAAATCAAGCATCCAGATATCTATGGTCTCGTCGTAAATGTAAGGTCACGATTCTAGTCATTCCTCCATAATATTCAACGGTTATTCCAATAGCTCCACTGGCTTTTATTCACTGGGGTATGTCACGGTTTTCTCTGCCCCATTTTATTTTCTAAACTAATCGTATTTTACAAGCTCTCTATTGTCGTCGTTCCTAAATTCACCTTTGTTGAGTTCCTAAAAAGTATTGTGAAGCATAAAATCTCGCACTTATTGTACGTTATACATCCTAACTCCTCAAAGGACGTGAGCTCAATATCCATATAGCTTAGTCCCGCCGCAAGTTGTCCTGCTCTGCAAAGTCAGCGCTACAATCACCTCACCTCGCCGTCAATTTAACACAATTTTAATACAGCACCATGAAGTGAAGCATTATGACTTGTCACACGTCCGTTTTGTCCTTTGTGGGGCGGCGCCGTTATCAGCAGAACTCACACAACAACTGGTCAAAGTATTGCCCAACGCATCTATTGGACAGGGTTATGGTACGCATCGCATGATATGACGTCTGGGAAAATGGCCCACCAATGCAATCAAACAGGAATGACGGAGACTTGCACCACTGTCACTATGATTCCGCTCACCCAGCATATCGGCACTCCGGGCAGCGCGGGGCAATTATTACCAGGCGTTGTTGCTCGGGTTGTCAAACAGGACGGATCATTGGCTGTTGCCGGCGAGCAGGGGGAGCTCGTTGTCACTGGTCCACAAATGTCGTTGCGATACTCAAACAACGCAGAAGCGTAGGTTTACTCATTCATTTCATGACAATCCATTGACTATTATGTTCTCAGAACAAAGGAAACGTTTGTGAACGGGTGAGTAGTTAGATATGGATGTCAAGTTACACAACTGATTGCGGGTAGATGGGTGCGAACCGGCGATGAAGTCATTATTGACGACAAAGGGGATGTCTTTGTGGTCGACAGGTTAAAGGTATTATTTGATTACCTCAGTCGATGTCGTGAGACGAGTAATTGGTCCAACAGGAAATTATGAAAGTTCGAGGTTTCCAAGTAGCACCCGCGGAATTAGAGGGCCACCTCCTTGCTCATCACGCCGTCGCCGATGCTTGCGTAGTTGGAATTCCAGACGACTACAGTGGCGAGATACCCCTGGCCTTTGTTTCTCTCCGAGCAGATGCCGTGGAACAATTGAAACTGCATCCCAAAGACGCCGAAAAGATTAAGGCGTCCATTTGCAAGGTTGATTTGTTTCCTCCTGTATTCAAAAATTACACTAGATGTGCTGATACAATTTCAGCACGTCGCGGATCATAAAGTTCAGTACAAATGGTTGGCCGGAGGAGTGGAGTTTGTGGATGCGATACCCAAGAATCCCAGTGGGAAACTGCTTCGACGGCTCATGAGAGATCGGGCGAAGGAGCTAAAGGAAAGGAAGGACTTTAAGCCAAAGCTTTAGGCGATCATTGGTGCCGTATGAGGGACTGCAATTCTATGGTTTTGCTACTGGGTTGTTTTGTTTATTCGTTCCATGCTGTATACCATTTCCAATAAAGATCGGATGAAGTTTTTGACGACAGAATGCCGCCATCCTTCTTCATAGGAAAATACTGTCCCATCATGCAACACATTATACTGCAATATCAATAAGGCATTTGCGGAGACTTCACAAGAACATTCTTTCTTCTGCTCATATAATTTGATGACTGGCGAAACACAGGGGACGTGCATTTGCTCGCAGTACTTGTAATAATAACTCGCGGATGTGAATATGATTTTTTGGTTCACATATATATATGCCATTGTCAATACCGAGTGGTTTTGCACAGTACCTCTAAATCACCCTCATTATGAGGTGCGATTCAACATAGGAATTTTTAAATATTGTGACTTGCGTGACAGCGATTACTGTAATGACAATAACGCAAAGTATCTGGCGGTGGCAGGGCTCGAACTTTAGCTCGAACAGACTAGTACGGTTTATGTGCTCTTCATGGTCTTGATGGTCGTCTGTAGTTCTAACATGATGGTCGGCTAGTGTAATGGTTAACACGTCAGTTTCCGGTTTTGAGGTCACTTGATAGCTGAAGATTGGGGGTTCGAGTCCCCCGCTGATCGTTTTGTCCAGCGGACGGGTTTTTGTGAAGGAGATGAGGAATTGAAGGGACGGAATAAGGAGTTCAAAGAATTAGTGTGATTAACTGCCAAATTGAAGCTGAACTTCGCAATGTCTTGATGTCAGCTCCTTGGCTGAGCTGACACCAAAACGGAGCCACCGTTTATGATTTAAAGAATAAAACCGTGTATTTGAACAGCTGGGACCTGAGTACTGAGTAGAAGGCCTCTCGATTCTTCATCGTTTTGCAACGATGTGGGGGTACTTTCGTTCAAATTCAAGTTTGACCAAATCATTTAATGCACCTCGACCAATTAATATTATGAATGGTTTCCCCCTTCATCATTTGGTGCCTTCCGGTGCCGAACGTTAAACGTGAGTCTCGGTAATTGCGAATTCCGCAGGAATTAGTGTTTAGGTTTAGATTGTGGCGAAATTTCGACGATTGCCATAAATGGAAGAGTTTCCTCAGTCTACGACCCAACCATGGAAGAGGACGAAGACGCAGAACTGAGAAACCCATTCCCTTCGCCACCATCGCATTATAAAAACTACACATCACGCAACTTAGAACTGCTGGGGCTTCTAAAATCTCGTTCTGAACTGTCGGCTGAAGAGAAAGATCAGCAAACCATCCTTTCCGACCAGAGCGATGTACCAGATTGGCCATTGGTAGACTTGGAGAAACCAAGAGTAGATTGGATCATAGAAGAAGGAAGCTACACTGTCTACGGAGATACTTGGTTTGCAAGTACCGTGGGCATGGTTGGTTATTTTATTTATTGATTTCTGTCCTGTTGTGTGGCAGGTGAAAGAAAATGTCCCATCTCTCGGAGAACTCGGAGGACGACAGCTTTACCCAGCAGACCCAACTGTTGGTAAGTATATTTACACTCAATCGATGGCATATCCGATGGAAAATGATAGATCGTCGCCCGGCGCTCGTGTCCATTCTGCGAACGCTTCTCGCGACGTTCAGCTCGCTACTTAGCTCCGTCCTTGCTCCTCCGCCAACAGCGACGTCTAATGATCCCCCGGATTGGCAACGACACATCGAGTGGATGACTGTGATGGGCCAAAATATCATGAGTGCTGCAAATGATCTTCGGCCCGTTCAGGTTCGTATTCTGATTTGAATCCTTTATATCAACATCTTAAGTTTAATGAAGGCCAGGGATAACCTCGAGTCTTTGATGAAGCGGCAGTTGGAGCTGCGTAGACAAGAGACACAAAACATACATTTGTTAGAATGTCACTCACCTACTTTCCGCACGTTTAACCAGCCAAATAGGAAATGTAATGCGCTCGAGACAAGACTCGCTGAACTCAAGTCTGCGGCCTCCCACCCGCCGGTAAGCTTTCCGTTGATTGAATAATTGTACTCCATGACCCACCAAATCCATCACGAGCATCTTCACTGTGCTATTCGAATATTGTGCTCTGTGCTAAGTGTTCTGATTGCTATGTGCAGGTTGACCGTAGCCCAGACTCGGCGAATTATCTCGTACGTTACTTCTATATCACCGCCGGGGTATATGCCAACAAGACTTTAGAACCAGAAGAACAGCAAACCGGAGGATGAGCATGCCAGCCTTGCTGATATGCATGCATGGGCAGAACAAGTATAATTTAGACACCGCGCATTTATGTACAATAGTTATATAGCACTGATTCATAACATATTTATTTGTTCCATTCGACGGTGGGGGTGGAGCGTCGCCGGTAAATTTTGTAGATTCAATAACGCCGATGATCACAACAACGCGTAAACAATCTGGAGTCTTTCCATTGCCATCATCATGTCTACGAAAAGGAGAATTGGCGGTGTTAGCGTTGCGACATCTGAGAGCGCGCGCCGTCAGTTGATGCAACCCGTTCCTTGCTGGGAAAAGATGTGGGTTACACCAGAGGATGCTCCTTCAGGCTCGACCCTCAAGGTTTACAAGTGGGTAAAATCTGACAAGAAACAGGTGAGCGGTGCTCAGTAGTTCCACCCCTTGCGCTGAAGTATTATAATAGCACTTTAGTGACGACGAAGAGGAGGTTGACGAGCCGCTCGCCCCCCTTCCTGATGAACCAGAAGTCATTGAAAACGAGGAGGAAATGGACCAGGACGACCCGGCTGCATCCGTCGTGCCAGATACTGCCTCGGTCTCAAGAGCTGTTTCCGAACCCATTGTTCCCCCCACTGAATCCGAAGGAGCGTCTGCACCACCTCAACCGCACCCTCTCTCCATGTCGCTTGTTCCGCCGTCCCCCACACCACAACCTGGCATTGACGGCGTCTTAGACGCCGACCTCCAACCCCCCGAACCCACAATAGACCTTGCTGCATCCCTTGACGGTGCCGACCCGTCTGTCCTACCGGACTTGACTCCAGATGACTTGCCGACATTGGACTTGTCGGGGTTAGGTCCAGATGGGACACAATTTGAAAGTTCCGACGATCTTTCACAACTTCAGGCGACAGACATAATATTGGGAGGAGAGGTCATGGATCAAAGTGTTGACCCTTTCAGCGCGCCCCCTTAAATGCCATATGTATGATGATCCCAACGTGCAAAACAAGCTGTCAAAAGGTATTCATATAATAGTTGTTGAAAGGAAACCCTGCGTGATGGTAGGAATGTGCTATCGAGATTTGTCGGACAAAGCCATCAGAGTGGCGAAGGAAGGTCAGCCATGAGCAATCTTACTTCATATGCTACTGTATTTCATCGTTTGACCCTCCACACGTGGTCGCATATTCTGAGGATTGTCCACAGGGCTGTCTTCAGGGGCCGTCAAACCCATAGCGTAATTTGGACGAATGCCTTCCTTCCACAAACGAACATATTCTTCGCCTTTTGTCCATGAGCCTTCCCATCCCGTCGTGTCAATAATCGCCTTCCAGCGCTTTCGAGCAGCATCCGAACTCCTTCGCGCGTCTCCTACATTATCCCATGTCTTTAAGAACTCTCCTTCTCGATCAAATGATTTCTCTGTTTCCGTCTTCCCAAACTCCGCACCGTAGGCTTCAGCCTCGGCTGCCGCCACTTTTGTTGCGATGTGGTGTTCAGACCGCAGAGAGCGGAATTGCATAACAGCTGTCGCGTATGCTCGAGCGAGGGACACATCATGGTACCGGTGAAGATTCACAGCAAATCGCACAGCACTGAAAGTATGGCTTAGACGTTGTAACCTTCCAAGCCAAGCAATACGCACTCTTCAGGTTCAGGATTCTTGCCGTGCTGGCCGAGTCTTGTCCAGGCATGACCTTGAATGGGATGTTCAGGTTCAATCGCACCAGTTTCCACCAATGATCTTTCACGAAATGCCTCGAACGGATGATCTCTGAAAAATTGCCTTCGCACTTCATCCTCTATGTAAAATACGGGTAGCGTCCGCAACTTTGCGGGTTTGAAATGTCTGCTCTGAGGCTTTCGAGGAGGAGGGAGGTCATAAGTGGACCGAGACGACGTAGCGCGAGGAGGTAGGGGTATGGGAGGATACTCCAAGACGGCTTGATACCATGATGGCTCCTTTTGCAGATAGTTCGCGCGAAGTAGGCGAGCGGCTTGCTGATGCACTTGGTTCGCTATTCGACGAACCATGGAACAAACTTTTAGGTGTAAGAGACTGTGACAACGTTGTGACCTACCCTTGGCGCTAACTTGAAGTATTGATATAGTGTATTCCCGCGAGTCTGACGCTAATTACTGTAAGATGCAAGGCAGCCAACACTTAGTAACACAGACGATCTCTGAGATGCTATGAGAGTTTCACTGCCAGAAATTTTGAACATTGCTGTCAAAGCTGATGGCGAAAAAATGCAGCGGGCAATCATCCTTTCACACGCGATTGTGCTGCCTGCGCCGCATTCATACCCATCCACGCCTTCTCTACGAAACCAAGCAAACGCTGCATGTCGGAACTCCAGTCGTTCATAACGTCTTCAGCGCTGCGTTTGTTTCGGAAATTCACAATTCCCGATGGTCGGTCGATGCGTGCCCACACAGTACCGGACACAACAAGCCTCGCAAGGGTCTCTTCCGTTTGTTGTGGCGTCAAGTCCAGCAATGACGTGAGGCGTTTCAATGTGATGCGAGTATAATATTGAGCAACCACTCGAATATTCTGCAATATGCCGTCAGGGAAATACTCAATGAAAGAACTTCGTGACATACATGCTCAATTGCGCGGGTGTGCAAATCTTCCCAGTGCTTCTCGTGAGCAGGCCCGAAAACCTCCGTAGCTCGAAGAGTAGGACCATATATCCCCTCAATGCCAGGCCATCTCATGAGTTCTCGGGTCGTAAAGCATTTGACAAGATTACTGTGGAAGGTGTCAGTCACGGCCACAAGATCCAGGGAGCTGACTTACTACTGCAGTTCAAGTTTTGCTAATGCTGGGTATTGGAAAACGCGATGGAGCATGTCAGACTGTGCATTATCGTGCGGTGCCAGTACGACGTAGTACACGACATGTTCTAAAGCCTAGACTTTCGCGTGAATATGCAGAGCTGTTGCTTGAGGAAAACGTACGTCGCGTCCTTTCGATTCGTCTTCCTTTACTGAAGGTGTCTCCCATATTTTGTGATAATATTGTGCGGCGTCAAGATATTCACTACCGTGGAGCGCATATTCAATCATGAGATCGTAGAACTTGAGTTTCAGGTCCTGGAAACACATTCATTTCAGGTCAACATGATATGTTGATCATTGAGAAGGGATCATACCTCATTCCCAGTTTCCTTCAAGAAACCTTCATTGACTTTCCGTCCACTGACTCGGACTTTTATCCAGTCCGCCTCTCCACCACCCAATGTATCTTTCCCACCTTTGCCCATCTCCGAGTCTTTACCCTTCGCGACGAGTACTAGCAGTCTCATTTGTTCAAGAATGAACTCGGTCTTTTCTCGCCGCTCCATGGACGAATATGTTTCTACTTGCAAGTCCGACAAAAGTTCAGAGGCAGTCTCTAGCGACTTCTTTCGGTCTTCTGGGGTTGCACTTGGTAAATT